TTTTCTTTAGATTAGGCAAGGCATAAAGGGTAGCCATACTAGCTACTTCTTTGATTTATTCTTGCCACCAAGTCTAACTAGTAATCTCTTTATTGTAACAAAGTCATTAAATACTTGATGCTAGAAGTACATTAAATACACATATAAGGTCTTTACTTTTGGCTCCATCCATCAACTCCTATTAGCCTTTTTTTATTACCCATATTATTAGGTCTTTGAGATACAAGCTCATGTTTTCTTATATTTTTTTAAATAAGTTCCACAACCACTATAGATGTGTATTCTCTTTCACTTTAGACAATCAATGTCTTCATTAACATTATATAAACAAAATTCAATTTTTTTTCTTTTTTAAGACTTATAATTTCATACAAAATTTAGAAATTTTATTATAAAAAAATATTTCTTAAAAAATCAGGCACTCTTTATCTCTTTTTTCTCCTATTTTTATAAATATTTCTTTTTTTTCTTTTTTTCTTTTTTATATTTATTTGAAGAAGTCACTATTTTCATTACAAATTCTTATGATTTACTTGCCTCACCTTTTAAAATCTCATAGTTATGTTATGTCCTACAAGGCTTCTCTTTATAATTGTAAAAAATTGAATATTTTTTCTTCACATATTTATGTATTATTTTCTTCACATGAATATGTATTAATTTTTGAACTTGTTTTCTAAAATACATCTTATTTTGGTTTATTTTCTATTTTTAAAAAATAACTTGGAATCCTTAAAAATAAAAGCTCCTTCACAAAGACCAATTATTTAACTTTGATACAAAGAGCCTTATACTTGCTATATATAAGCTTTTGAGAGTTTTTTCACATGAACTTATTTAAGTGGTATGCTTATTAACTTCACTTATTTCATAATATTACTTTTACCAAGAACTTTTTTAAATCTTTTATTTTGCCTTGTGAGCTTATTGTATAATACTATAAGTATTGTTTTATTTTGCCATATCTTTATTTGAATCCATAGTTCAAGTAGTTTCTTCATATCATGGTTTATTTATTTATTTATTTTATTATTATTATTATCTTTGGCACCTCTCTCGTTTGAAAAAGAAGGCTTTATTTTTATCTACTATATTTATTTTTAGATGTTTTATTAATTCTTGGATTTCTTTTTTGTAAAAAAATTTATATTTTATTCTAGAATTTCCAATTTCTTATTAAATTTCATAACCATCTCTTGAATATGCCTTACATTTCTTTTATTGATCCATTAGAATTCATGTAAATAATATTGTATAAAAATACAAAGATATTGAGTAATTTTTTACATCAATGTTTTTTTAAATCTAAAATTGCATCAAATTTTTATAGACTTATTTCTAATGTCTTCTTAAAGAAAGGTTTATGGCTTATCCTTACAAAAATATTATTGGTCATCTACAAAACAATTTAAGCACAAACATATAGAATATTAGGTAAAACTTTAATTTCTTAAAAACGTCTAATAGATAGATAATTTTATGTAGAATCCAAAATATTTTATATAGACTTGCCTACTTTTGTGACCACTTAGAAATAAGATGTATAAAACAAGCTAAATTGCTTGTATAAAATCATATCTCATATATATAGAGATATTGGATACTTTAAAGGTTTTTATCTATGTGCTTCTTTTTTTAAGACTAAATAGTCTCAAATCTCTTATAAGCCATTTTTAGGATTACTTCTCATTTGGTCTTTATATTAGACTCCATCAATTAAGTAGAAGGTTGAGTTTATTTTATTAATTTTCCATACTATTAGAAGGTCTATTAGTTGTAGTGCATCTAAAACATAAGTCATCAAAAATAATGAAATTACTTATTGATAAATCTAAATTTTAATTATAATTTTTAAGTCTTCAAATAATAAACTATGAAAAAATAATTTATTTATCAAAATAAATTATCTTAATTAGCTATCACTTAGTTGTTTTACTTTGAGAAGCTAGAAGTATTTTACCTTGTATGAGTAAATTCCTATTTGATTGAAATTTAACTTGCTTTTGTAAAGACCTAAAAATATTTGTTGAAGTTATGGTATACAAACACACCTTACTTTAAAAAAAAATTGTCCTTAAGCCTTTAAAATACTTTATCTTAAGATTTTTTTTAATTTTAATTTTTTCATTTGTAATTGTTTTTATAAGAGGCTCTTCAATCTTAGAGAAGTTTTTTATCAACTTCCTATAGTAGTTTATTAGACTAAAGAATTAACTCGTTTTTCTTTATTTTAAGAATTTTCTAAATTTTTATACATTCTTACTTCTTTAAGTCTAATTATAATTTTTTTGCTTATAATGTGATCAAAGAATCTTGGTTCTTTTATTAAAAAAATTATAAAAAATATTCATTTTCCTAAATTGATATATATATATATATATATATATATATATATATATTTGGTTCTAAGTTTTTAATATAATTCTTATTCATTTTTTATTATTATTTTAAAAAGAGATTAAGATGTCATCTCTATATACGACTACAAATTCATCACTTTTAATGTATAAAATTGGATTTATAAGTATAGCAAAGATAACTGAAACATTGCACTAAACATTTATAAGACTTGTATCTAACCCTCTAAGCAATCTTTTTTATATCATCATTTGCAATCTTGATCTAATAGTATCATGACTTCAAATAAATTCTACTAAATTACTTGTTTTTTTAGTATATCTAAGAAGTCATTAAGTCTTAGAATAAAATAGTTGTTTTTTATTTTTAGTTTTTTAAAGGTATTATAATCTATAAATATGTCTATTTTTCCATCTTTTATGCTTGTAAAGAAGACAAGAGTTTCAAAAGGTGACTTACTTGATCAATTGTATCATTTTACAAGCAAATTATTAAATATTTAATTTGATTGGTTCAAGTCTAATTAGTTAAGTCCATAAGATTTCTAATGAAGAATTTTTATATTTAACAATAGATGAATCTTATAATCAAAAATTCTAAAAGAAAAGAGTTTTTTTGACAACTGATTTATCAAAATATTACCAAACTTACTCTTAAATTATTATTTTTAAAATTTTTAAATTTATGTAAGATCTTTTTTTTAAATTATTAAATCAAAAAATTCAATCAACATTACAAATATAAAAGGAAAAAAAAATCTTCTTCTAACTCTTTTTAAATCATAATTCAAATTTTATATTCATATAACATAGAAAGATCCATAAATAGAAATTTTCTCATTTTACTATCTTCTTCAACTATAATCAATTTAATCTTTGGCCTCTATCTAAACTTTATCTCAAAGTAGCCTAAATTTTTTTTTAAATACAATATCTATTCTACAAAGATTTTACACTATAAATCTTTTTTAGAAATTAATATTTTCATACTTGAAGTCTACTTCCTTTATTACTTTTTTTTTTTTTTTTTTTTTTTTTCCTAAGACAAAAACACCTTTACTCATTTGATTTCTTTATAATGAAATATTAACCTCTCAGCACAACCTAGATCTCTGAATAAGTTGGTAGTCCTTATATCAACCAAAATTGACACCTTAGAGTTAGTGGTATGTGATATTAAATAAATAAGCTTCTTGCAAAGAGAAATCTGGGCGAATCTTACCTCAAATTTCTTTCTTTTATTGAAACTCTTTGGTTTAAAGTCAAGAGTTTTATTTTTGTTCCTTCTTCATTCAAAGTAAAGGTAAATACTAAATCAATCAAAGTAAGCAAATAATTATCTTTCAATACATCTATTTTTTTTGTATTTTTTTATACAATGTTCATTTTGATTATTTCTTTAATAGATCATTTCTTTGTTCTATGTGCCTTGGAATTCTTACTACCAAATTCTTTATGTTATGATAGATTATTACTGTCAAGACTTTCTTCTTCAAACTTGTGTTTAAAAAATCTATTCTCCTTTTGATGTAAAAACTTTTTCCTTCAAAAACTACCTTTATATTTCCAAAAGCATTCTTTCTAGAATTCCAAGTGACCTCTTCTTTACTTTAATAATTAAAAGTAAAAAGTAGTCTTTTCTCTTCTACCCATCTAATTCTACCCATCTAATTTTAATTTGTCTTTATTAGGTGGAGATGTTTCTCTCAAATTTCCTTCTTCCATTTGTTCTATCTTATCTTTTCCAAGTGATTTTCTTCTCAAAAAATTTCTTTTGAACCTTGCTGTCACTTCTTGATCTATAAAGCAAAAATTCTAATATCATTTTGATACGATGCCTTCATTCATTGTTTTCTTGAAAACATTTCATTTGAATCTTTTTGAAACTCCAACTTATCAAGTTGAACTTCTTGAGCAAATTGCCTAGCAATACAAACTAGAGCTTTATTAGAGCTTTGATAATATATGTAATGACTCCAACTCCCAAAAACCCCATTTCTTTGCTTCACCCCCTTTGTCCACTTGCACACAACAAGCCGGGTTGCCCGGGTAGAAGCCGCGTCAAAAAGTGCGGAAAATTACAACCGAAAGTGTTTTTAGTCGACCCGAGACAGATTTAGGGCTTCGTCCTGAAAAACCAGGAGTTCTGCGAGACAAGTCCCACTCCGACTCAAGCAGGGACTTCTGGCACACCGGCACAGGGTTCTAGCTGAGTCACAGCACGATCCCGCAACTTTCCAACGTTGACTTGAACCCACGTTCCAAATACACACCTAGAGTCTCTAACTACGGCTCCACCCATCCTGTCAGTCATTTCCGCCACGCACCCCCCCCCCCCAGGGTCTTCAGGGAGTGAGACGACGATTCTTTGTTTGCTTGTGAGCAGGTGCTGCATCCACTTTGGACCATGGCACCACCTCCGAGATATAATTCCCACTTTATTAAGGTCTTTCCTCAACCCCGCCAAAATCTTTCCGCATTCTTCAAACTCGAACATGGAAACAGAGCTGTTACATCACCCATTTCGAAAGCACCCAAGCATCGAATCAGAATAGTAGCACTGTATCGTCACCTAAAACAATTGGGTTCGTTTCCACGTTAGTTTTTGTTGAGCTGAAAGACTTTTCATCATAAACTGCAATAGATATAAAAGAGGACGATCATGTACGATCAAGTCAATTAGTTTGACGGTGTATTTGAACTCTCGTTTGCAAATCACCAGTGCATGCAAACAGTAGCCTCCCTAAAACAGGGACTCTGCCAGTAATCAGCTGAAAACTCTACAACTTCACATAGCTCCTGTTCTACATGGAATCTCACTGGTGCATGCCGAGTTAGTTAACACCTGCCGCTCATAAATAGTCTTTCCTGCGTCTATCCACGAGACTATCTACCATAGGAACTGCCCGAATCTACAGAAATAACTACAAAATGGTAACACTCTCATCCAATACAACTCTTCGGACTGAATCATTCGCCACCATATGAGGGAAATGGTGGCACATCGAAGGAAGTAAACTATTAAAGCTCATGGGATGGAAGGAAAACTCTTGCAGCTCACCCGACGCTCACTACCTGCCCCACGTTGAAGGTAAACCTACAAAACTAAACTTCAGCACCTTACTTCTTTCCTTCCTTCACGTCCTCGTACTCAGCTTCCGCCGCTTGCTCACCAGTGGGGCCAGATCCAGAACTACCTCCTGACTGGTTCTTCATCAAAGCCTCTCCGATCTTCATCGACGCTGTCTGTGCTGCGCTGATCTTCGCTTTGATCTCCTCTACGTTCTCTGAATCTACTGAGCTCTTCAACTCTGCTAGCGCCGATTGGACGCCATCCACAACATCCTGTGGCAGCTTCTCCTTGTGCTCGTTCAAGCTTTTCTCCACCGAGTACATCGTCGTGTCCGCATCGTTCTTCGCGTCTATTAGCGCTTTCCTCTCCTGATCCTTCTGCGCATACAGCTCCGCATCCTTCACCATCTTCTGGATATCCGCCTCCGATAGACCGCCTGAAGACTGGATTGTGATCGCCTGCTCCTTTCCTGTCGCCTTGTCGCGCGCAGATACATTCACTATTCCGTTCGCATCGATGTCGAACGTCACCTCGATCTGAGGCATTCCCCGAGGGGCCGGAGGGATCCCCACCAAGTCAAATTGTCCCAGCACCTTGTTGTCCGCAGCCATCTCACGCTCGCCCTGCAACACCTTCACGCCCACCTGCGTCTGCCCGTCCGCTGCCGTCGAAAATACCTGACTCTTCTTCGTTGGTATCGTCGTATTCCGAGTGATCAAACGAGTGAACACCCCTCCCAACGTCTCAATACCCAATGACAGAGGTGTCACGTCCAATAGAAGGATATCCTTCACATCCCCTCGCAACACACCACCTTGGATGGCGGCTCCCATGGCCACGCACTCATCTGGGTTCACACCTTTGCTCGGCTCCTTGCTGAAGATACTGTTCACCACCTCCTGCACCTTTGGCATCCTTGTCATTCCACCCACCAACAGCACTTCATCCACGTCCTTCGCGGACAGACCTGCATCCTTCAGGCAGTCCTTGCAAGGCTGCTTCGTGCGCTCAATCAGGTGGTTCACCAATTGCTCATACTTCGACCTCGTTAGAGTCACATTCAAATGCTTAGCTCCAGAAGCATCAGCTGTAATGAAGGGCAAATTCACGTCGGTTTGAGGGGTGGATGACAGCTCCACCTTCGCCTTCTCAGCAGCCTCACGGAGCCGCTGAAGTGCCATACGATCTGAGGAAAGATCGATACCTTGCTCCTTCTTGAAGTCATCCACCAAGTGGTGAAGCAGAGCGTTATCGAAGTCCTCTCCACCCAAGAAGGTGTCTCCATTCGTTGCCTTCACCTGTCATTTCAAATCCAGATTGCCAATCTTCAGCACTAAAAACACATGAATGACTATTCCGATGACAGAGCTACCTAACCCTCACGTTGCCGCGAATACAACAAGTATGAGATTAGCATGGGCCGAGATATTGCTCAAACCCAATGAGAATGAAACAAGAAATCTCTTTCAAAGAAACGACCCCGAAAATTGTGATTTATTCATTACAACAAATTTAAAATAATCTTCCGTTTCTCAATTAGTCGAGACCTAAATTGTACGGACATTCATGATCTAGAATTTGAAAGTAAATAGGCAATGCTGAAACTCAATTTCAATAATACAGCAAAAGCAAACTGCTTAATCCAACGACGTAGAACATAACGTTACACATTTATCATTTTAACATGCACAGCAGGGAGTGATAACATGCCCTTACACATAATTTTTCTGCGAAGAATTTCACCACCAACGTAAGCTCCTACAAAGCTACATAAAAGACTGAACACCATACCTCGAACACACCACCAGAGATCTCCAAAATTGAAATATCGAATGTGCCACCTCCCAGATCGAACACCGCCACCAACCCTTCCTTGCGATCCATCCCATACGACAACGACGCAGCAGTCGGCTCGTTGATGATTCTCAGCACATCCAATCCTGCAATACGTCCTGCGTCTTTCGTCGCTTGCCTCTGCGCGTCGTTGAAGTACGCTGGCACCGTGATCACTGCCTTTCCCACTGGCCTACCCAAGTACGATTCCGCTGTATCCTTCATTTTGCCAAGGACGAACGCTCCTACCTGACTGGGAGAATACTTCTGCCCTCCGGCCTCCACCCATGCATCCCCATTCGGAGCTCGGATGATTTTGTACGGCACCATTTTGGCCTCCTTCTGGGTCTGAGGATCATCAAAGGGTCGCCCAATCAAACGCTTTGTTCCGAACAGCGTGTTTGTTGGATTTGTCACAGCTTGTCGCTTGGCGGGTGTACCAACCAACCTCTCACCCTTTGAAGTGAAGGCAACTACGGAAGGTGTTGTGCGAGCACCTTCCGAATTCTCAATCACGCGTGGCATCTGCGTCACAATTCACCAATCAGCACATTCAACACAAGAACAACACTCTCAAATTCGGATACGTATGCAAATCAGGTCCAACACAAAAATTGAAACCACACGAGCGGATCCACGACTGCATGGCAACGTGAATTGACGCATGCGAACGCTCCAATTTCCAACTCAGCAAGAACTAAACCAAAATCCCAGCCTCAACCCTAACAAATCAAACTCACCTTTCCCTCCATCACAGCCACGCACGAATTCGTGGTACCCAAGTCGATACCGATGACATCGCTGCCGGCTCCCTTAGAGCTGTACAGAGCCCTCCCTGTCAAACGGTGCAGCAAGGACGACCCATACGAGGGATAACAAGGGGCAGCAAGGGGTTGGGAAGATCGTAGCCGCTGCTGCTGCTGCAACAACGTCAAAGTGCGACGCCACGGCACACGAGACGCCATCTCACCACAAAACTCCTCCCGATTGTTCCAACAGATACAGAGAAAGCGGCCGCAATGTCGGATGATGAACGCCCAGCGAGATTGTGAGCAACCCGCCTGCGCTGTGCGTCGTCTCTCACTGTCTTGTCCGAATTGAGAGGTCCAGGCCAATACCGCGACAGCGAGAGCTGCGGAGTGTGGGGTTAGGGTTTAAGCCGAGCGGCATCGAGAATCCATCGTTGTTTCTGGAGGCTTCCAAGTGCCGTGCGACGTGGTTCCATCGCAACTACGAGAACGCGGTGACGCGTTTCTGGAGCTCGCGCTTCCCGATCAACACTCCAGTTGTGCATGCTTCGGCGTTCTACCTCGTTGCACCTGGCGGCCACGTCTGGAATGATGGGCCAGGTTTTCTTTCTGAGAGATCACGTGCCCATGAAATCACGGGCCTGCCAATGGTCACGTGCGTGTGAACGTGAGGATCGTTGACTGTTAGCATTAGGAACCTAAGATTCTCAGTGAATGTTGGTCCTCTAAATGAGCATGTCACATTCCTTCGGATTGAAATATTATTTGTTAGATTGTTTTATTTTTGTCAAACGTATCTTTCCTTGAAGGTGTTATTTCATGTTACATTTTGAATTACATGTTAGATTTCTTTTATTCACTTAGCACTATTGAATAAATTAGATCGATGGAATTTAAAGTGTTATTCTTTATTCTAATTAAGTAGGATTATCTCATTAAAAAAAATTAACAAGGATATTATTTTTAAAATATTATTATATTTATATGTATTAAGCATGTGATACTTTGAAGCAAGATGTCATAATAAAAGTGCATTTTTTATTTAAATTAAATTAATAGAATTAAAATTTTAAAAAAACTAATATGTATATTTTTGTCTATATGCATATATGTATATAATTACAAACTAGGATTAGATCTCCTTACTTTGCTTTAGAAACAACATATTGTTGTTAATCACTCAAGTGTAATAAAGATAAATGTAATATAGATAAATGTGTGAATATTTAAATGGAAAGATATTCAAATAGAAAAAAGAAGATTTCAATGAGATAAGACCTTCTAAGTAAAACTGAGTGATTTGCAATATTCAAAGCTTAGAAGTTGCATTGATATAAGATTTACTACAATTATAGCTACACTTATTAGAATTGAAATTGTAGATTTTTCAGTCAATTTTTGTATTTTCCAACATGTTGTCTTGATAGACTTATACAAGACAATTGAAGAAGGATTTTTGGTTTTTTTGGTTTTTTTGGTAAAAACAAGTCTTTGAAAAATTATTGTTGATTCTAACATTGATATTACTAAAACTTTGAACTTACAAAAACATATCAACATCTTGTAGTATTGATTTTCTTGAATAATAACTACATATATATTCCAAGAAGTCATGAAGAAAGCTTCATCTATGACAAGAATTATTATCAAGGGGTTTTTTTTTTTTTTTTTTTTTTTTTTTTCTCAGAAAGAATTTAAAAGATTTTTTTTTTTTTAATCTTATAATCTTCATCTTATTAAATTTTCATACAGCATTAATACACTTTAAACATAAAATTTGTTATTTGAACCTAAAGTTATATAAAACTCTATTTATTTCTTTGAATTATCTTTATATTGAAACATAGATCATTCTTAAATGTTTGCTAAAAGACATCAAGTCAACTATTTGCAAACATTGCTAGACTTGGAGATATACTTGAAAAGGATGCAGAGAATGTTAAGTTGATTTAATTACATTTTACATTACAATATAATTGGAAGTTGGCTAAGATTTGGATTATTAGTTAATAACTTCATTATAAAAAAATAAAAAATAATTCAAATTGATAATAAATACATCTTTTAATCTTTTATTTTATTTTTTATTGAACATTGAATAAATATTTTTGTTTTTAGTTTTAAGAATTTTAAGGACAAACAAATGAATAATTAAACAAAGAAACTATGAAGTTTAATTAAAAATAAATAAAAATATATATACAAGAAAATAAAAATGATAAGAATATAGTAGAAAAGACATAGCCATGTGATAGAAAAGTAAATTCTATAATGAAAAATAAATTTATCTTGGTTGTGAATTATTGTAATTATACATATATACAAAAAAAAAAAAAAAAAAAAAAAAAAAAATCAACCATTTGATACAATCAAAGAATAAAATAATTTTAGATAAGCATGGCTTATACAATATTAGTTGAAAATTAGTTTTGTAAATAAATAATAAAAGAATCAATACAAAAGTACAAATAACCATAATAAATAATACAATGAATCTAGAAATTGCTACTTAGATGTATTTAAAGTAATAAATATAAGTAAAGCTAAAATTATACTATTCTCTAAAATAAATGATGTAAAAATACTAGCCATGCTTCTAAAATAATTAAAAAGTTTATAAATGATTATAATAAAAAAATTGCTTTATTATTAAAAAGTATCTTTCTATTCACACTACAAAATATAGATTAAAGTCCACCAACTTAGATTGCACCTCAATAGAAAGATCTTCAATAGAATCAATTTTAAGTCTTTATTTTAAAAACTTGAAATTTCTAAGATTAATGCATATAAAACAAAATAATATCAATAACTTCAAAAAAAATTTAAATTAAACAAATTTTTGGAAGAAAAATATTAAATCATAGATTGCATTGGAATAAAGTTATTTTTTAACAAATGTTTCATTTATCATATTAATATAAGGTATACATAGGCAAATAGAATTTAAAGAAATATTAGCAATAGTTTATCTTCAAATCAAAGACTACTTATATAAATTTATCTTATTTTTTGGTATATATATATTTCATTTATCAAATTTCAATTTTATTGAATTACATATAATATTTAATATATTTCTTAAGAAATTAAATAATAAAGTGTTAATGGTATTTAGTAAAAAAAACATATTTCAAATCTTCATCATTGTTAATCATTTCTTTATTTTCTTAATTTTTAACTTAAATAATTTTTTTGCTTTAATACAATTAAAAATATATGAAATTATAAGTGAGTCAAAGATTAAACATCTTTTAAGGACATGAATTATAAAGAAAGAAAAATTCAATATCTTCTTATATTACTCAGATAGACTAGATATTTCTTTGAAACAAATATAGTATTGAAAGTAAAGTGACTATTATCTAAAAAATAAAAAGACTAAAAAGTCTTGAAATAAGATTAAAAATTAGAATGGCATTGATAAAAGTAAAGAAGGCTTCGTTCTTGCTTCCATATACAGTATCTAATTACAAATTATGTAGCGACGTTCTATAAGACCTCCTACATGTATCCAACTTTTGAAACAAATATATATATATATATACTTACAAGATAATTTTTTATATGTATATTGTATAATTAGCTTATACCATAAGCTAACAATACATGTGATATTTGATTAATTTGTTTTCTAAGTTTCTAACCTATCAATCAATTACAAATGCATGTGAAGTCCAAGTCACATTTGTAAATCTTTTAAAAAAGCTTATCTATAAGATATTATCAAATTTATCTACTTCAATCTACTACTACTTATTTGTATTATCTAAATAACTATGTATATCCATGATATTACTCTCTTTTTAGAGATGAGTTCTATGAAGAGTGATAATCATATATTGATGAAATCCAATATTGCTATATATTCTGATCTTTGTTCTCTTTGAAGATGGTTGATATGTCCTTTTAGCCATCATTAATGTCTTATTCTAAGATGGGATAACTATCTCCTTATTTGATTGTTTTTGAAGCCTTTGTAACTCTTTTCAAATAATTTTTTTTATAATATTATTAGGAGTTATTTCTACCTTCAATAAAATCACCGAACATCAAGAGTTTCTTCTCAGGTCTTGATATCAAATTCATTGTATCTTGCCATTTATTCTAAGAAGAGCATGTTGTTCTTGAAGATCTTTATTTCTATTATGTCATCTTAAAGGCTTTAACAATTGCAATGTCTCATCTATTAAATCAACAAATAATAGTTCTTAAGTTGAATCTATTGTTAATTGGTTCTTCATTTTTTTAGTGCCAAAAATATACATAAATTATAAATAAAGATGAAAGATAGAATATAATTTTTTTTGGATCTAATTTCTTTTATAACAAAGATTTGTAATTTTTTTTTTTAAATTTTGATGGATGTCATTAATGAAAAATATCAACTTTCTTTATTATATTTGCACATTTGTTTATTGGCTTCCATGTACATTCATTAATATCATTTTTATATCAATAAACAAGATATTCTAACTTATTTTAGTGCCGCTTTGAATCTAATACTTCTTCTACCTCAAATTCTTAATTATTATCTACTTCTTTTGGAAGATGTGGCATTTGTCTTCTTTCTAAGATATTTGCAATCTTATATGGGTTAAGAAGAGATATGTAGAATATGAGATGAATCTTTATAGACTTTGATAGATATAATCAATAAGCAACTAGATTGATTTATTCACAAATAAAAAATAATCAAAGCTTACAATATTTTAACTTATTACAAAATTGACTAATGTTAATATTACAACAAAGTAATCATACCCTATCACTAATATAGAATTGAGGTTTTTCCTTGCAAAAAATATCTATGTTAGTCTTTTTTGTTCTTGAATTTCTTTTAAGTATACTTTAATTGTTATATATAGATCATATAAATAATTTTTCAAACTTTTCATCATGAGATTATCAACTTTTGAGATGTTAAAAGTATCAACTCATAGATGATAATCATAATTATCAAAAAAATATTTGTTATATAAAAGAATATATTATATTATTATAAAAAAATTCTATTAATGGTAAAAAAACTATCTAATTATTTCATTGATAATTGATGGTACACTTGAAATATTACTCCAAAATTTGATTTATGTGCTTTGTTTGTCCATTGGTTTAAAGATGAAAAGCCAAAGATAGTTTTATATCAATCTTTAGAATATTGAAAAGAATTTTTCAAAATTTTAATGTAAATTAAGTTTGCTTATTAAATATGATATTCTTAAATAATCTATAATAGTGATAAATATTGTCAAGAAAAATCTTAGTTGTTTGTTTACCTATGATAGATTTTTAAAATGATATAAAATAAACTATTTTGATAAAACAATCTATTATCACAAATATAGAATCATTAAAATCTAAGATTCAAAGTTTTGTGATAAAATCCATAGAAATAAAAGACTTTAATTTTTTTAGAATAAGTAATAGCTAAAGAAGTCCATAAGGTCAATAATAAGGAATTTTTGATCTTGAATAAATATCACATGATTGCTTTTCACTGCCT